GCTGCACTAGGGGAAAGTGCGAACTAACTCAGAATTGTGGAACTGATGACCTCAAAGACGCACGAAACGAGTAAGATGTGGTTTATCGACAAGTGGAAATCGACAAGTGAGAACTAACTCGCAGTTCTGCTGACAGGACGACAATTGCAACCCGAAGTACAACAGCAAAGTACGAACTGACTCCGAATTGTGGAACTGAAGTCCTGGTTTATCGACAATTGCGAAGGGTTTCGACAAGCGCGAACTGACTCGCAACTCTGTAGACAAGACAATCATGGCGATGCGCAGCAGTAGGTAAAAGTACGAACTAACTCGGAATTGTGGACCTGAAGACCTGAAAGCCGCACAGGTTGGGTTATCAACTCTCCAGCAGTGTTGCTCAAAAAGTGCGAATTAACTCGCATTTGTGGAAATAAAGAACTGCCTTTAATGAAATATGTGTGTAACCTTGGAAAAACTGCGAATAACCTCGCAGTTGTCACTTCTTGAACACTGTACGCCGCAAACTGCGAACTGACTCGCAATATTTCTCTCTCTATATATGTATCTATATATATATATATATATATATATATATATATATATATATATATATATATACACATTACTGTGTAAGTACCCCAAGATGATGAGGTGCCAAACGACTCCGTCGATATGAGCTCTTGGGAGTCATCATCCTGTTATCCCCGGCGTACCTTTGATCCGTTGAGCGAGAGCCCTTCCACACGGGGCCCCCGGATCACTATGGCCGACTTTCGTCTTTGTTCGACTTGTAGGTCTCACAGTCACGCAGGCTTTGACCATTACGCTCTACAGTTGCGCAAAGCGCTAGCTTGAGCCTACCTTCGCGCGCCTCCGTTACTATATATATATATATATATATATATATATATATATATATATATATATATATATCAGGKCGACGACCTCACAAGGGACAGGTGAGCGAAAATCGAGAATTGATTAAATGTTCAGTGTAGCAATATATCTCTATATATACATATATGTATCTATATCTTTATATATATTGTCAAATAGAACTGCCCGGTAAACCGTAGGCAGAGAGGGAGAAGAGGACAACAAACGAGGGGCTGTGACAAACTGTTTCGTCG